GGGAATTACTTTCAAAAGCAGACCCCAGATCAGCGCAGAACTTTCCGCTGCAGGATCAGGTCTGGATTTTCTGAAGGCTACCTAAGCTTTGCTTTGAAATTAATGGGGAGATTGTAAAGGAATATTTAACTGTTGTTATTCAGTTTCTTCCCATTGTTATAAAATGAACCTTTAGGAATTGTTGTTGGTCAGGTTTTCTAATTGGATTATATATCTATCTGGCACATGGGGTTAGACGGAGGTCAGGTAAAGACAACTGATCGTATTACCTTTATTATCTGTATAATTTGTAAATAGACAAAGAAAAAAAATTAATCTCTCTTTTCATGAGTGCCAGAGCATCAATTGCCTGGCCTCAATTTGTGTAGGAAATAGAACAAATGTGGAAGCGTGGTCTACAAATTCAACTGTTGGAGCCACATTACTATATCAAGCACAAAGTCAGTAACATGAACCTAAAGTGCAAAGACTTTTGTATTTCCTTCGTGATGGGAATTTCTACGGCTATCCAATTACTTTTTCTGGGAAATAAATAAATAAATAATGTAATACTTTTGTGAAATGTAACAAGTAATGTACAATATAATGATTTTTTATATTGTAAAGTTTTTTGATGTTTCCATAGGCTTTAAGGGGGGAAGGTAGCAGTGGGATGCTGATTATCAAAAGCACTTGATTAATTGATCATCAGTAAGTGTGAGCAAGCTCTGTAAAAGCAGAAGTTTTGGCCACTGTGTGTTATCAAAGAACTAAAGAGGAAAGATTTCAACTTTAAACATTAGAACTGAAAGAGAGAGTACTTTGTTTTTACCATGACAAAATGCGAATCACCCAGATTTCCTTTCCTAATCTGGTTGATTCATGTATAATCCTCATCACTAAAGCATGTGTCATATTTAAGGTGTCTTGATTGACTCATAATGTAGGAAGATATTCCTTAATTAAATGCCATTTGCTGTCTATCTATATTAACTAATAAACGTAATATCTATTGGAACACTAAAATGGTATCATTGAACATTATAATTTAACATTACCAGCTTTTTTCCCTTACTGTATTTCCACATGTAGTGACATTTTTCCCCTGAGCTGCTGTTTGTAGCTGTACTTTTCTAATTACCTGTGTTTAATACATAATTGCTTTTAATTTATTGTTTTTGATGCATTCCTGCCCTGTTAAGTTATTACAAAAGTAAGACTAGGTAATATTAAAAGCCCTCAAGAAAGTGTTCCAAGAATAGAAATACTTCCTTTCTTACAAAAAGCTAGTCAGATGTTAACATATTTACAACTTTGCAGGTCTTCTGTCTTATACAAATACAAAATACTGGACTCTAGAGCAGAGAGACATGTTCTCCAACGTGTTTCCTTCTGGCAATTCAATGGTGGTTTCCAGGAGAACGGTACTTGTGTGACTGCATTGTGCCAGGTGTTCTGTTCAGTTTGGGGCAGGGGGGATTATGGTGTGGAGGGTTTTTTTTTCTTAGGAGTTGGGCTCAGCACCTTAGTTCAAGTGAAAAGAACTCTTAAATCTTCAGTATGGACGTGCACAAAGCAAGGTCCATAAAGCTATGGGTGAGTGAGTTTGGTGTGGAAAAGCTTGATGGTCCTGCCCAGAATGCTGACTTCAACCCAATAAAACACTTTTGGGATGAATTAAAGCACAGACTGTGAGCCAGGACTTCTCGTCCAACATCAGTGTCTGACCTCACAAATCTGCTTCTTGAAGAACGGTCAAAAATTCCCATAATCACACTCCTAAACTTTGTGAAAATCCCCCCCAGAAGAGTTGAATTATAGCTGCAAAGGGTGGGCTGACATCATTTTAAACCCTATTGATTAAGAATGTGATGTCAATCAGATTCATATATATATGTGTGTGTGTGTGTGTGTGTGTGTCTCTCTCTCTGTGTGTGCAGGCAGATGAGTGAATAATTCTCAGGTATTACTAATATTCTCAGTTATCATTAATTAAAATCTGATTAAGTGCACATGATTGGACTCAAAAAGGTGTAAGCTGTTTTATTTAATCTTTACTTTGCCACAGATGTGTGTGGAATTAACGTGCCACAGTCTTAAAGGTTTTCTAAGGCTTTCGGAGTACCGCTGTGGAAGCTTGAGGCAAATTGATTTAAACCAACCTCCAAATGATCTGAAATCAAACATTTCACTGTAAGGAAAACTCTTTTCAAGAATGTATTTGAAAATCTTCCCAGGACTGGCTTTTCTAGCAAATTCACCACAAGAGCAGATCATTTTACTCAAAAACAAACAAACAAACAAACAAACAAACAAACAAATAAATAAATAAATAAATAAATACATAAATCACCAATAAGCCTCACATTTATTCTCCAGGTAACTCTTGCCACTGTTAAAGCGTACGTGGCTGCAATCATTAACAGACTGCAAAAATTCGGCCTGCAATGGAGAAATGCCAGCAAAAGGCTTTGCTGTCCAAAAAGAACATTAGTGCAAAACTACAATTTGCCAATGAACATGTAGGCCAAGACCACATCTATTGGTATAATGTGGTCTGCAGAGATGAATCGATGTTAAGAGCTGCACGGCCACAGTAACAGCAGTCATTTTGGCCCAGATGTTAGGGAATAGTGAACAATTAGTCAAAAAGGCCTGGGAGGTTTTTTTCTTACAAAAAGGGGCATACGTAGCTTTTGAAGCCTGTAAGTCACTTCCAAAGTTTACTTGTCTGCAAATATGTGGGGAACAAAATAAAGATTAAAGGAAAGAGCTCTATCTTTGTCCCCCTGCAGTAAGGGGATTTGGTGCCTCTGTTTAGTTGCCAGGGGATTTTTCTGGCATTGTTTGGGTAAACGTCTCCCTTTAGAGCAAAGAGTCCCTGCAAATCAATACAAAGTTAGACAGACTGATCACCCTTATCCTGTGATGAAACTGTTCTTTTATGATGGGAGTGATCTCCTCCTGCATCACAATGCTTTCATCCATAGGGCACAAAGAGTCACTGAATTGATGTGATAAGGTCTTTACAGTCAACAGATCTCATCACCAAAACAAGCGAAATGATGGCTTAGTTAATGAGGGCAGACAAAAAGAGAGGAAGTGTGGGAGTCTTCCACAGACAAAAGCATAACTACAGAGGAAATAAGCGCATGCATGACTTATATAAGACCATGCATGCGCCACTCACCAGTGGCGGTCCTAGCCTGTTTGGCGCCCCGGGCGAACACTCCCTCTGCCCCCCCCCCACCACCACACACACACACACATATGAAGAGAGAGACAGTATGCATTGTATGCAAATGGCTACCAAACAGCCATCATAATTTGTTATACAAACTGAACAGGACAAATCAACAATTGACAATGACTAATTAATATTAAAATCTGTAACATAATGTATTGTTTGGAGTTTAGTCTGTTACTGTTACTATTTTTACCATTTCTTTTTGGAGCAACTGTAATCCACATTATTTCCTTAGGGATTAATAAAGTATTTTGATTCTGATTCTGATTGTTTCAGGATGACCTGCCATTATCCAATGACACATCTGCTTTCCTGTATCTTTTGCTCGTTTCTCCTCCTCTTCTTTTCTCTTTTTTCTAAACTGAGCACCTGATGACTTTGAACTTTTCTTGTCCATCTTGGTTTTAATTTTACACTCCAGTATGAACACAAATCCCCCAACTCGACGATCGCCACAACATGACCTAACAAACCTACACCTTAGTTCACAGATTCACTTTGTCTAAGGTGCATTTCTGGAATTTTTCGCACAACCCAGGATTCAAATCATGAATAGATAATGGGCTTGGATTTACACCATTATGAATGAAATGTGCTCTATTTGAAAGCAGCGGGTCTCCCTCCCCTTTCGATGGGTTGCGTGTGAGACTTTAAATCAGCAAACTGTAAATTATAAAATTTAAATTGTTATTGATCCCTTTACTCCTGGTCCTAAAGTGTATATTTATTTTCTTACTTATCTTATATTTATTGTTTGTTTACTTGCACTGCTATAACTGGAGCCTCGTCATCTCGTCTCTCTATATTAAACTGGACTGTATGTAGCGGAGATGACAATACAGACAATACAGTTTACTTTGACTTCAGCACCGAGCAGGCCGCCCATGTCGCCCGTATCAAAAACCGCTACTGTCTCTCACTGTCAATTTCAAAGGCCCTTCATCCTATCGCCAGATCTTCATTCTTCTTCATTTTATCTCCTACTGCCTCACTCTTTAATTCTTTAGGCAGTCAAAGCATAGCAGACAGCATGCTCAGAGAACAGAACACTGTGGGTGAAATTGAGCCTCAACATTTCACCTCTTGTCTGTCTTATTTTCGTTCCACTTCCTTCCCTTTCCTCTCTCTAATCAAACGGCCCACCTGCCTTTTAGTTCTTTTCGGAGGGGTGTCTCACTGCAGGGGATTTTATTTTTATTCCTCCCCTCTCTTCACCTCTCCTCTTCTCTCCAGAGTGTTGAGCTGTGATATATCATTCCCCTGGGCATTGGGGAGGCAGGTAGCCTTTTAAGGCTGTAGGTTCTTAGGGCTTGTTGATATAGTGATAGCCTGAAGAGATACTGAGCTTCTATTTAGGTGTACCTTTTTTTATGTGCATTTATTTTAATATATATGTGCATTTACTCTGTACCTTTGTGTGTGTAGATGCCTGGTTGTAAACTTCTCAGGAAGCAATTTTAGGCACACTAAAAACACACGAAAGCTACACAGAACACAAACAGGTAACCTCCTAATTTCATGTAAATATATTTGTCCTTTGTTTTCTTCCCTTTTGTTGCACGTCTCATACAGACACACACGCGTGCACGCACGCACACGTGCAGGTTCAATTGAGTCATTAACACAGCCATGCATCTCTGATTGATTGATATTAATAGACGGAGCAAGAGGACCTTTCAAATAGTCTCCTTTGCCATTGTCCCTCCCCTGTTCCCACATGCACCTCTTCCTTCTCTCTCTCTCTCTCTCCCTCTCTCTTACACTGCCTCAGCATCTCATCTCGGTGCCACCAGCAGCATTAACAGTGAGGCAGTAGGCAGACTCTTTTTTTCCCCCCACACACAGCACAGACAGGAGCCGGCACTGATGCGCAAATGCACAGAAACGCACACACTCACATGCACTGGAAGCAAACAGGAACCGGACAGAGACTCCAGCTGCAGCATGTCCACTGGCTGCAGTCAGACATGTAGGAGGAGGAGGTGCTCTGCTCGCTGTTCCATGTCCGTTTCAGTCCTCTAAGCACCTCCCATCCCCCCGCGTTCGCTCCCTGGCTCTGCGGTTGCTGAGGGGCTGGCTGGAATGACCCGGGAGAGCGGGAGACACAAGGAGATGCGCTAGATGGGGCTGCCGGCTGGGAGGACTCTCTGATCCTTGCTCCCTCCTCCTCTCCATGCCGACAGAGACAGCAGAGCTCTGATCTGTCCCACAGATGTATGCCCATATAGGAGGGCATGGCTGTGTAACGCGAGGGTCTTCAACAAGCACAGCTTGAGAGGAGGACCACCACAGAGACACCAGGTAAGAGGTGCACAGCTGGGGCTACTCTGTTGGATTTCCATCTATATTGATCTACGCAGATGTGAAGGAATCGGCAATGTGTCTGAGATGTAGAATATGTCATTGTTTTTTTTTTTTCATCCTCATCAGTGCTCAACTGTTGGTTTGGTTATTTACTAAAGGTTTGTATCTGTTTTGTTTGTGTGTGCCTGCTGTGCTGCATGGCCATTGATTAGAAGGGAGATGGGTCTGTGGATGAGCACTGTGGCAGCATAATAATGGAATATGTCTCCTGGAGGACATGGTCTGATATCCATCTGAGGAATGTCAGTGGGAATGAAGAGGAAACAACAGAGAGGTAGCAGGAACGGGGAAGAAAAAGCAAAACAGAACAAGTGATTGAAAGTCCATGACATTTCGTATAATTTATATGACTGTCATATACTGTGGGCTTGTGCTGCTTTGGGGCTGGGAGGGGGGACCATTTTGCTTTGTTTGTTTTTTTTCTCCTACTGCTTCATTTGTAATTCATATATTCATCCCACACTCCACATTTGGACAGTTTTTCAATTACAGTCTAAACTAAAGGCTGTATTTCACAGTGTGGCAGAGTAGCTGAAAGTGCTCATGTTGAAGAAATGACGCAAAAATGCAACATAGGACTTTGAAGAAATGATGCCGACTTGCAGAGCGGGACTGGCCCCTGGGTACGAGTATGGCACAGATGAGGGTAGAAGTTTGGGTATGAACACAGGAAGAGCAATGAAACTGCAACAAACACATGTTGAAGCCGTGTGAGGTTAACACAGAGGATGCAAGTGAAACTGAACAATCACAACTATTAATACGAAAGATGAAATGGTGGTGGCATCCCCTGCAGACCAGGGAAAAAGGTCAGTTTACAACCTCTGCTAATGAAGGATCTTTCCCCTGAACTCACCTCTAACACTCATTACAGGACTTTAAAATGGTTACAATGCCTTTATTTTTGTGTGTATATCAAAGACCAGGGGGCAGCAACAGCCTCAAAGTGCATTTCAAAGATTGGCTCTGGGTGAATGTGCTTATGCAGAGGTGCCTGTGGCTGAAAGAGATGAGCTGTCCGGTACCGTTGCATGGAGCATACATCACTGAACGCAGGGCCATGGACCCAGGAGGAATCAACAGAAAGAAATCCATTACTTAGATGACCAGGCATCTCTGATCTCATCATTTGACTAGGCAGGCTATAGAGACAGTGGGAAGGAGCAAATAGAGAGAATGAGAGCATTGAGGGAAGCCAGTCAGATGTGGAGAGAACACTTGCTTCAACGCCATGATTAATTCTAGAGGCAGTACATTCAACATGTGCCAAGAAATATCAATATTTTCCATTATGCGGCGTGTTTAAGAATGGACGGTGGCTGATTTAAAGGTTGTTTTTAAAAGCCATACTGCAACATCCATCTAAATGCCACTCAGCTCACTCAGTCTGGTTAGGCTGGGGTTTGATAGAGTGGATTTCTGAGGTTGATTAGGTGTGCTTTTGTGGAAAATATATGCGTAGGTTGATTGTATGGCAGTAAACAAGAAACACTGGTGTAGACCACAGTTTATCAGGTAAATTTTACTTCAGAAAAAACATGTTTTATGAATTTATAAAACATGATTTAAAGCCACATTAAAGCCCAGTAATATTTTATATGATCTTGTTGTACATTGCGCTTTCAGATGCAGCTGCTATGTCATCTTATCTGCCAAGTTCTGCTTAGTCATTAGAGGAAGCAATACAGCCCCAAGGTTATCGACTACAGCAAATTAACATAACTTGCGATGCAGCCATTGCCCAAGTGCACAAACTTATCAACCTCTCATAATATGGCTCATTGAGAGATTCCGAGTAAGAGGCCCACCACTGACAAATACACAGCCTGGACATGCTTTCAAAATCCAATCAGCTTCATGTAAGGAGTACTAGCTGGCACAGGCTGGCAGTTCTGAAGAGGCACATAAAAGCACAGTTAACAGACTTGGCACTAGATAAAACCTACCGATTACACCAATTACAGTAGAGGGCATTTAAATGAGTGGAAACAACATGCATTATTTCAGTCTCATGAACATTTTACCCTGATAGTTGAGCACAAGTGGATAGCTCTGTTGCAAGACACGTGGGCACTCCAGAGATGCACATGAATAGGCACACTTGCACCAGCTGCTTTGATTTTAAATCTAAGCAGTGATGCCTATCTACAGTCTTGTCAGGCACAATGATTTCTGTCCAGTTTTCAAAGCTCTGCAGGACTTCAAAGCAACAATGTAGAGTGGAATTAAAGGATAAGGGTAGGGATGTTTTATATTTTTATTGCAATCAAATGTGGTTTAAAAAATGAATGACATGGTACAGCGGGTATACCAGAGATCAAAAATATGGAGCTATTACAGTCTTGTTGAGATAAACTATCCCTGTCTTTCCTGTTATGTTGGGATGTGCCGATCACTACCACTGAATTGATTTTATTGACATCCAGCTGCAATATCAACCATCAGGGCAAGTTTAGGTCTCTAAACTCACCAAAATAGCTCTGACCAGTTGAGACATCATCGACCGAGATGCTGAGGGTATGCCATCTGTGGGTAACTTGTGGGGTCTCTGTGGACTGGACTTGTTCCAGCCTGTATCCTGCTGATGCTTCATCAGATTGGAAGTGGGGAGTCTGCAGACTAGGTTATCATGTAGAAGCCATTTCTGAGCAGTTTTTGTGCATTGCCCTGCTGGGGGTGGCTGATGCCATTGGGAATACTGTTGCCACGGGTGGTGTGCTTGATCCGCAACAATGTTGCAGGTGGGTGGTAAATAAATATCTATCTATCTATCTATCTATCTATCTATCTATCTATCTATCTATCTATCTATCTATCTATCTATCTATCTATCTATCTATCTATCT